TGAAGTGACTCTCCATGTTTGTTGTCTAATGTGGGTAGGACAGCCAGAGGGAATTTAAAAAAATTTTTATTATTTTTATTATGTGTATAAGTGTATTGCCTGCATGTATGTAAGTACAACTGTGTTGTACAGTGCCCATGGAAGGTAGAAGAAGGCATTGAATCTCCTGGAACTGGAATCACAGATGGCTGTTAGCTGCCATGTGGGTGTTGGGAACTGAACCCTGATCCTCTTTGAGAACAGCCAGTGCCCTTAACTGTTCAGCCATCTCTCCAGCCCCAGATTTAAAAAAAAAAAAAAAATTTATGTATTTTTATTTCGCGTGTACAAATGTCTGCCTGCGTGTATGTATGTACGTGTGCTTGATGCCTGCTGAGGCCAGAAGAGGGCATCAGATCCCTTGGAATTGGAGTTGTAAGCTGTCATGTGGTTGCTGGTTACTAAATCCAGGTCTCTGGAAGAGCAGCTGGTGTTCTTAACAGCTGAACCATCTCTCCAGGCCCAGGAAAGTTACTGTTTTTAAATAAATAAGATTATATATAGAGGGATTAGAAATGCATGTGCAAACATCTTAGTGTCAATTGCATTAAAAATGACTTTTTCTGTATGAAACTGTGTATTTTAATAATGAAATGGAGATCTTTTTCAAAGGTTAAAACCTCATATAATTTTATGTCTTAAAGGGTTTATACTGAGTACAATATTGTATAACTGTATTAATTCAACTGTAAACCTAAAAATTTACAGCCAATTTTGAAACAGATGCATCTTAGCTCTGGAAATTGTTATTGAATATGTCAATGCTGTTGTCATAAAATGTTTCTTCTAATTATGTGGTTATTAAATAGTTTTTAAAAAATAACAAGTAAATTTTTCTGCTATAACATGTCAAAGGATTACCCAACCTATGGCCTATAGTCCACATGTGAAGGAGGACAGCTATGACTATGTACAGATATGAAATCAACTTACTTAAAAAAAGGATTATATGCAGTAATATTGTTCATAATGCCATAACTATGAGATGTGTTTTATTTCATTATTGGATGATACTTCCACATTGTATGGCCTTTTCAAAAATATTTGCAGCTGATATTCCATTTTGTAGACAGATTCTTTTGTAATCTTTATATTTGGGGCTCTAAAATTTATTATAGTAAAAGCTTTCAACCGATTTGAATGTTAATTTCTGATTTTCAAAACTAAAACCAGTGGATACTGGAATGTACACTTAAAAGTACATGTCAGGGTTGCTTGCATCTTAGAAATACCCAAATAATACTTTTTTCTTCTGGCTTAAGTAAATAATAGTCATAGAATGAAAGAATTGATACCACCATTGCATGTTTTAAATTGTTTTTTATTTAACTTTTTATAATTAAAAGATGGAAAAATATAATGACTTTCTGTATATTCTTCATCTAAATCCACCAGTTGCTAACCTTTTGTTAAATTTGCTTTGTGACTCTGTGTGTGTGTGTGTGTGTGTGTGTGTGTGTGTGTGTGTGTGTGTGTATACACATAGGTATGTAGATTGTACTAAGTTTTTTTGAGAGTAAGTTGCAAATATCACTACCCTTTCTTAACTGTTTCACCCTATATTTCATAAGAATAAAACCATTCCCTCATGAAACAGTGCATTTATCAAAATTGGTCATTTCAGACCCAGCATGATGGCACATGTATGTAATCTCAGCTCTTGGCCAGTCAAAACAGAAGAATATGTGGCCAACTTGAGCCACATATTGATATCTAAGAGAAAGGAAGATGAAGGGGGGGTAAGAAATTAGTAATAGAACACAGTGATCTAATAGTCATTCACTTTTTATCACCTATTCATTAATAATCTTCGAAGTAATTTTCCCCTGATGGATGTGATTATTAATACTTTTTGGTCTCTTTTTGCCGCCTATGTTTTTTTTCTAGTTTATTTATTATTTTTATTTTATGTGTATGCATGTATTGCCTGCATGTAGGTAAGTGCAATGCCGGCCAAGGACAGAAGAGGTTGTTGGATCCCTTGGAACTGGAGTTATGGATAGTTGTTAGCTGCCGTGTGGGTGCTGGGATTTGAATCCAGGTCTTCTTCAAGAACAACCGGTGTTCTTAACCGCTGAGCCATCTCTCCAGCCCTACCACCTATGCTTTTTAAGCCAGGTCTGCTCAGTATCTTCAGTAACAGAAGAATTGCTTCTTTAGGCTATACGCAGAGTGATCCTCTGAAACCACCTAAACGTCTTGGGGGAAAATAGAAAACAGTTCTTATTTTTACCCTGAGGTAGAGTCCTAATAAATATTTGAGTTCCTATAATATATCCAGAGTAATGGAAATTAGCAGTTGAGATGATGAGTCTTTGTCCTTCGTTGGGGTTAAAGATGAGGAAATAGCTGATTACACTGCAACACTCTAACCAAGCTCAAAAGAAAGAGAGTGTTCCTCAAACTATGCTATGATTCGAGGTTTGGAAGAATGTTAGAAAAATGCAAACCACTGTGGACAGGAAGATTGTTAAGTTTCAAGGTAGCCATGACATCAGCCTTTTATGCTTTCAAGTTTGAACGTGACAATTTAAGAGAGTTCAGTACTGATAAATGTAGTAATGTACAGTAATAGGTACTACGTATTTGCCACAATTAATAGTGAAATATTCTTTACTTTTATAATGATGGTAGTTCACTCACTAGGATTTAAAGGGGGTAGAGAAAGTGCTAAAAGTCTCTGTAGACATTTATGCAGTATTTAAGTTCCTTCATCTATAGTCCTCCTTTGCATTTGCTTTTTAGAACTCTTAGCTAGGGCCTCTGAATTCACCAAGTCAAACAGCCAGAATTTTTAGTGTATTTGTAGTACGCTTTTGTGTCTTGCCAGACTTAGTTTTGTTACAATAAAATATTTGTGTATACTTCCAAGATAAATGGGTTAAGGGAAATTTTATTAAAGGTAGATACAGGAAGTATTTCTATTTAAAACAATAGTAAGTAGTTACTCTGCAAGTCCAAAGTAGAGTGAAAAAAGAAAGTGACTTTAAAATAGAAAGTGTGGTCTTTCTACATAAAGAAACCCTGTGCTTTGGGAATTGTAAAACATGCTGGATGGACCTAGTGAAAACAGGAGGAGTAACAGACAGTACCATCATGTCCCTTGCCTATGCTAAGTACTGTAAAAATAACTCTTCATTATATCCCGTTTTTGAAATAGTATTTAAAATGTCACGTTCCTATGTGCAAATTATGAAATTCAGATCCAGAGAAGTTAAGGATTAATTTTTAAAAATTTTTATATGAATGTTTTGCTTGCATATAAGTATACCACCTGAATACAGTGCCTGTGGAGGCCAGAAGAGGATGTTGCATTCTTTGGAACTTGAGTTACAGATGTTGTTAGCCACAGGGTGTTGGGGACCAAGCCTGAGTCCTCTGTAAGAGTAGTTAGTGTTACTTGACCACTGAGTCATCTCTCCAGCCTCTAAGAAACTTTAATAACATCATATTGCTAAGAAATTCAGTAGTGAGATTTGAATTCAGAAATCTCAACTGTGTGCATTATGCATTATATCAGACTAAGAAGAAAGGACAATGACACCAAGGATTAGTGCTCTGTTGAATGTAGAAGAGGCTTCTTAACTTGAATGTGTGCCAGGGTACAGTAATTGAGACTGTAAGATTGTATGCTATACCACTGTGCACTCCATCCCTGTTTATCTTAGCTCAGGAATTCCTTCCTAGAGTATAAAACTAATATAGTAGATGCATTCATTGCAAGCAGACATTATGGACATTGGATGTAGCATGTGACATCAAAGGTGAAATGAGAGATTTCTTCTTTATAGAAGAAATCCACTTGAACAAATCAAGTGGATATAATAGCAGAAAGTTGAGTAAAGAGAACGTGTTACTCTTTCTGCTTTCATTTATTTTAAAAATGATTCCAATGAAGTCTGCCTGCCTTATTCAACCTCATGTTTCCTAAAGTTACCAGAAAAATAATTTCATGTTTTGAGACCTGTGCTAGAAATTCTTGTTATGTCTGAACAGTGTCACCTTTATTTATATGTTATATATTTATGATGATAGGAATTGAACAAAGTTTATTTTATTATTTTATATTTTGTTGTGGTGCTGAGATTTCAACCCAGGGCCTTTCAGATGGTAGGCAAGTGCTTGGCCACTGAGCTACATAACCAGATTTTTTGTTTTTTAAATTAAAAAAAAAAAAAAAAGAAATTCCTAGAACCAAGAGCTTCCGTTAAAATGGGATTTTATAATTATATTGATGAGAATAGTATAATACGGCATTGTAGGTTTTCTGGGTGTAGTTGACTTCAAGAAATTTAATGGTGTTTCCTCCACCTCTTTTTACAAAGGAGGAACCTTGCAGGGATTAGAATGACTGGTTCTTCCCTTCCTAATAAAACTGATTTTTGTTAGCATATAGCATAATCTATTTACAAGTCACTCTTAATAGGTCTTGCTGTTGTTGAATATCAGGCTGGAACCATCTTCCTTATACTACAACTACCGTGTATGTATGTATGTATGTATGTATGTATGTATGTATGTATGTAATTTAGAGGCAGGGTCTTACTGTATAGCACTGGCTAGCCTAGAACTGTCTGTGTAGATCAAGCTGGCCTAGAACACACAGAGATCCACCTGCTTCTGCCTGCAAGGTACAGAGATTAAAGTCATGCCCCACCATTCCTGACTTCTTGATTATTTTATTGTAAGCATAATATTAACTGTTTTAAATCTCAGACTTCTCTTTGTCTTGATCAAAATATATCCTTAGGGAATCTTTTGGTAGGTTTCATTTAAGCCCTTTCTGTTTTCTTGTAAAGAGGATAGAGACATTTGTTAATGCCTGAATTTCTGAGAATCTATATAAATCAGTATTGTGCTCCGGAGCCTCAGAGAAGAATCAGAAATGTAATATCTTAGAAGGTTAAACCTGTGCCTGGAAGATAGAGTTTATATGTTAAAGACAAATTGCTTACTTGCAGGGAGAATGCTGGCGAACCAGACTCCTGGAGCAGTTTATCCTATGAAATCCCTTATGGAGACTGTTCTGTGAGGCATCATCGAGAATTGGACATCTATACATTGACTTCTGAATCTGAATCGCATCATGAACCTCAATTTCATGGTGACAGTTGCACTGGACATATTTTTAAACTTATGACTATCCAACAGCAACTAATGGTAAGGAAAAGTTTTCATTTTCAGTTAGAGGTCTGTGTGTATGTCTGCCTACCTCTCCCAGTGAATCTTGCTGTAATTAAGACATAAAAATGTTTCCACAAAAGATGGTGAAATCTGTAAAGCAATAGTAGTATTTAATGTTGCCACTTAAGATACAGAACTAGCATTAGCTATTGTAGCAATAGAGAGATGAAAAATTTTAAATTCTTTTTATTATTATTTGTGTGCGTGTGTGTATGTGTATGTATATGTATGTATGTATGTGTATGTGTATGAATGCACACATGCTTGTGCCACAGGCAAGTATGTAGAGGTTAGAGGACAGTTTTCACCTTCAGTTGGAGATTCATGGGATTAAATTCATTCCGCAGGTTTGTGTGGCTAGTACTTTTACCCATTGAGCCATCTTGCTAGCCCAGAAGGCTGAGATTTTTAAACTTCAAACCCTTCCCAATCTCTGAAGTAATGAATGATACTCATACACATTGCAGACGCAGAAGCATGCAGCAACCAGAACCAAATTTTCCTGGCATAAAAAGAAATTTGTCTATGCTTGGTTTAATTTTTTCTTTTTTTCTTTTTTTTAAAGATTTATTTATTTATATATATTGTTTTATTTATTATTTTTATTTTATGCGTACACATGTATTGCCTGCATGTAGGTAAGTGCACCCATTTCGTGCAATGCTGGCAGAGGACAGAATAGGCTTTCGGATCCCCTGGAACTGGAGTTACGGACAGTTGTTAGCTGCCATGTGGGTGCTGGGATTCGAACCTGGGCCTTCTGCAAGAATAATTAGTGTTCTTAACCACTGAGCCATCTCTCCAGCCCCCTGGTTTAATTTTTTAGAAGTAAAAGAGGCAAACCAGCTTCTAAGTTTGTTGCTAAAGTACAAGAATGAAATTTACTCATCAGTAAAGCTTTTTCACAGCTGTTTTAGTGAGTGATGATAGTGCTACTTGATTTACATTAGTAGTTGATAGAAAGATCATCTTAAAATCCCAGCAGTCAGGAGCCAGAGGCAGGCAGATCTCTGTGAGTTCAAGGACAGCCTGGTCTACATAGTGAGTTCCAGGACAGCTGGGGCTACAGGGAGATCCTGTCTCAAAAAGACCAAAAAAAAAGAAGTTAAGATTTTATAATCCACTCAAGCTTTGAATATACAATTATTACCATACAGACACCTTGGTAACATTTATTGTAGATAATAGAGGCATCATATGGATGCATCTCTCTTGGCCATAGCTGAGAAGCTAAGTTTAGATAATTTTTCCACTCGGTTTATTTCAAAGCTAATTTGATTTCAAAACAGTTTGATAATAATTTCATTGAAGGTCAGCTAGGGTCAGCTCAAGGCCAGAGGCCTCTCTGAAAGCAGGCATTATTTCTGAAACATGTAGTCCCCAAATCTATACTAGGATTATATGAAATGCCTTCCTCTGCCTTTCTGAATCATGTGTGTTTCAAGTTGTCATTTCCTTTGAGTAGACTACTAGTAAATTACCACTCCCCTTATAATTCTTATTTGACAAATGATAATCTACTTGAAAAAAAAAATCAGCCTTCACATTTCAAAGCTACTTGGAATGGTTAGCAGTAAAACATGAGAAATAAGATGTGAGAGATTGTGTGTTAGGACCTTCCAGAATTCCTCAGGCACTACCACCTAGGTGTTTCTCTGGTCTGCAGTGTTTACCTTTCATTAAATATAGTGACTTGCTGTCATAATTTTTAGGAGGAATAGAAACAAGCAAATTTTGAATACTCTAAGTAACACAACAGACACTTTTTTCTTTGTATACTATAATAGAAAGACTTTTTTGAGAATAGCACATTTTACTCTAGTATGCAAACTTTAACAGTAGTTTTAGTAAGAATTTAGGAAGAATCTGATGGCATACTACTCTATATATGTACAAATTAAACAGATGAATGAGACAGTAGGTGATAGTAGACATGTATAAAATTATTGCAGTAGATCAAAAGTAAATGGACAGCAAAACATGTTTTAAAATAATTATGTCTTGGCCCAGAGAGATGGCTCAGTGGTTAAGAGCACTGATTGCTTTTGCAGAGGAGCTGGGTTTGATTCCCAGCATGTACATAGCTGCCAGCAACTGTCCGTAACTACAGTTCCAGAGGAATCGAATGCCCTTTTCTGATCTCGGTGGGCATTGCACAACATGGGTGCACTTACATACATCAGGCACTAACACTCATACACATAAAATAAAAATAAATAAAATAATTATGTCCTAAGCAAATAGTGTTATAAATTCACTGAAGATTCAACTAATTTGGTTATCTAATTTTTCCTGAGCCTTGTTGGCATATACATATTTTTGCATTTTTAAAAAAGTTGATTTCATTTTTTATTATGTGCATCTGGTAGGTGGGGAATGTGCAGTGCCCACAGAGTCCAGGAGAGGGTGTCTGATCCCCTAGAGCTGGAGTTACAGACTGTTGTGAGCTGCCCAATGTGGGTGTTTGAACCTGAACTCTTGGGTTCTTTGCAAGAGCAATAATACTTACTCTTCACTGTTGAGCCATCCTCTCTAGTCCCTGGGGGAGTGTGGGGTCTCCCCAGTTGGCCTGGAACTCACTGTGTAGACCTGCCTCTACCTTATGAGTGACTAGGTTAAAGGCGTGAGCTACCACACCCAGCTCTCCATTCCCGCTTTTGCATAATTTATTTGATTAATCATGCATTTTATTTAGTTTTTTAAAAAATGTTTTTTTGCTACTGTTACTATTTATATAACAGTATTGTGTTTCTTCTTTTAGACTGATGGACTGTGATTGTTTTAAATCTTTCTCTTATTGACTGTATTTGTTTACTTAAAAAAATAACTCTTAAGCTGTGCATGGTGATGTTGGTCTGTAATCACAGCACTCAAGAGGCAGAAAAAGAAGGAGCACAAGTTTATGGCCAGCCTGGTTTAAATAGCAAGTTCCAGAGTTAGTCAGGACTACATAGTAAGACCTTGTCTCAGAAAATAAGCAAACAAAACTAAATTATCTAAAGATTTTTAAGGCTGCAATAGCTTTTTTTTTTTTTTTTTTTTGCAATAGCCAAAGTACCCTCTGACATTACTTAAAAGTTTGATAATAGCACTATATGCTCTCATTTATTTAATATTCAGTATTGGATACCAGAAGAACCACTTTTATCAAACAGCCCAATAGTATCTCTTGTTTCCCTGTTGACATTCTGAACCTAATGTAAGTAGGTAAGTTGGGCTGTGCATATTTGGGGGATTAAAAGATATTGTTTTAAGCACATGAGTACCTGGTTACATCTTTTGATTGAAAAGAGTTGATGAAACTGGTTAGGCTTTGGTTTTACTTGAGTATATGAGGCAGATAGACTTAGAGTACTCCTGTAAAGACACCTAAGGATCCTTCTTAGCTGTTATTTGAAGGTTTGTCATGCTTTCTTAAAATAAGGTTTCTGAGGCTTAATTTTTTTGTTTCCTAAAATAGAATGGAAATTAGCCACTGTGTATATTCTGAGTAATACTTAATATCACAATGGATACACAGATATTGGAGAAGATAGTAACAGAGAGGAAAGAAAATTTGTCTTGATTAGTGTATCATTTGAACTTAGAAGGGCTGGAAAAGTAGTGAGTTTTTTCCAGTGGGGTTTTGCTTACAGGTATCAATAACATCTTTTTCTCATGGCCACTTTTCTCTTTTATTTTTTGAAGTTGGAGGACAATTTTATCAGGACACCCCCAGGGCAGGCAAGCGGTAAATCTTAGCAGGATCTGCAGGAGGAGAAGGGAAGAAAAATGGAAAAAACCCATGCCATTTTAAGCCAGCATGGAGGACAGACACATGATGTTATTAGCAGCCACATGGTAGAGGGGGAGCTTTAGAAAAAGAACAAGGCAACCCAAAATGTTGAAGAAGCCCAAGATGTTAGAGAAAGCATGCTTAGAAAAGAGAAAGAAGAGTTTAGAAAAGCAGGCATACTTACAAAGCTTTATGACTATAGCCTGATAAGCTACTGCTCCTGGCCGATTTTAAAAATTATCTTTCATCTCCTGGCCGGTTTAAAAAATTATCTTTCATTTCCTCCTAGAAAACAAACATCAAGCAGATGGACAATCTTATGCCCCTGATGGTGACAACACAAGAGTCTGCTTGTCTGCCCAGTGCCCCAGAGACGGGTGGCCAATCCCTACCCTGTGCATCAGAGCCTTTGGACAGTCAGCAGCTTTCTTCTGAAGAGGCTACGAGTACTCCATGCTGCCAAGGGAGCTCTGTGGGGCAGTTTGAAAGTTCCTGTGATTTGTCAAGTGTGGTTGAGGAAGAGAATGCAGTCTGTTCTCATAAGAAGAAAAATAAAGGCGTGGAGAGAAAAGGGGAAGAGGTGGAGCCAGCATCTATTGTGGACTCTGGATCTATATCTTACCAAAACAGCTGTCTTCAGAGCATTCCTGACTGTGGAGTAAAGGGCACAGAAGGCCTTCCGTCCTGTGGAAACAGAAATGAGGAAACTGGAACAAAATCTTCCAGAGTGACTACAGATCAAGAATCACTGAGCAATGGGGGCAGTGTGCTACAGGGAGACATGGTAACAGAGCCAGGTGCATGCCAGCTTTCTTCTGGAAAGGAGGTAGCAGACAGTTCATCAACAGGTGCTAGTGCCCCAGAGAGTGCAGGGAAACTGGAACATAGTCAAATGAACCCAGATGCTACTATCCAAAACAATAAACATCAAGTAGGAGAAAGTACAAAGGAAGGATTTGAGAATTCTAATATTAGCACATCTGGGGCATATGATGTTCAAGTTGTTTGTGAACCTGTGGACAAAGCCAGTATGCTTAACAATGTCTCTGCCGCCAGGGCCCTGGGTGCCAACAAGCCTGCTGAGTCGTCACTTGAATTAAGTCCTGGGAAAATCCTCACTGAAAAAATAGGAATGGAAACTCAGAAGAGAAGCTGTGAGGACAGAACTGATGCTATAGTTGATCAGAACTCTCTGGTATCTCCGACTGCTGCAGAAGACATGACTTCAGACGGACCAGAACCTGACACTCCCCTAGCAGGACAATGTGAGGCACCAGCACCCTTGGATTTAACCTTTTCTAGGATAAAACCAGATGGGATGCCAAACCAAGAATTAGGATCAAATTCATGGCAAGCTCAAAGCCAAAGCAGCCAGTCACGGCTTTGTTCTACAGCTGGGGTGGGTATATTTTGTGCTGAGTCTACAGGTCAACAGAACATAGTGACTTCCGATGGTGAGCTGGTTGTAAAACATTGCAGTGACTTAATTAGCCTGCCTGAAAGCACAATACAGCAGCCAAACAGAAAAGATCTGTGCACTGCCCTCTTCCTGGAGGACCCACAAACTGACACAGTCACTTCTGATGCTGTGATAAATACCCAGGAATGTGTAGATTTTTGTCCTCTCAATGTTTTAGATACAAAGGACCAAAGAAAATATTTGAAACAAGATACACCTCTAACAAATATGTTTGAGAATGTTTCACATCTCCCTCCAGTTGTCCCTCAAACTGAGAAAAGACTAGTGCCAGACCAGGCAGTCCCACCAGGCAGCACTTTCTCTCTGGCAGGCAGTCCAGGCAGTGAATCAGTAACCAAAGATGACGCACTTTCTCTTGTCCCCTCCCAGAAAGAAAAAGGAACAGCAACTCACCAGCTACATAGAACTATAGCTTGTAGAGATGGCCCAGCTGGAGGAGATTTGAATGATTCTGATAAACTACAAGACGGGGTGACCATCCTGTCCACACCTTCTGCTCCTATAGAGCTTCAGCTGAGCATGGGGAATATCAGTCCCACAGGCCTTGGTGGAGAACATGAGGGTCCTGGCCCAGCAACTCCTGAAGTTCTGACTGACTCTTCTCAGCCAAGTACGGATAAAGCTGTTTTGGCCTCTGACTCAGTTCTGCCTGAAGAAGGGAAAAATCTGGTAGCTCTAGAAAGCTCTGCAGTTCAGGAACAAGATGACAAGAATAAAGCAGTGCTGTGTTCTTTCAATAAGGAAGACAGGCTTTCTTCAGAAATGTCAGGGGAAGACCAGAGACCATCACCTTCTGGGCAAGAGACACCAGAATTGTGTGAAAAATCTGTCTTAGCTGTCTGTGCAGAGGACAATGCACTGCAACAGAGTAATTCACCCGACACGCCCTCTGCCTGTCTAAAGACTGAAACTAAGCATAAGGAGGAAGTGGCCTCTCAAGTCTCCCTGCTGACTGAAGGTGGGGTTGTGCAGAGCCTGGTACCACCAGGAGCAAGATTGGCTGCAAGTGCAAGGCAGGAAGCCTCGGGTGCAGAGCAGAACAGCTCATCTCTGTTGCCAGGTTCACCGCAGAATGTATCTGAGGCTTTTAATTGCAATCAGCGTTTCACTTTGGATGTTGGAGTGAAGACCTCTGAATTTCAAGGGAAAACTAATGCTTGTGAGGTAAATGGAAATGTGATGGTGGATACTGTAGTGGTTAATGCTCTGCAAGGTCCTCCAGAGCCCAGAAGAAAGGACACAACACATTACACCAGAGACATTCCAGTTTCAGAGTGTTTGTTGAACCAGAAGATGCATATGACTCCAAGTCTGTCAGAAGCTTTACCAGACAAAGGTGTGGCTGGTTTACGGGGAGCTGCAACCCCAGAGATGGTACCTCTTGATTGTAAGAGAGGGAAGCTGAAAGGAGCAGAGCTCAGCCCTGCCCTGGGTAACTCCAAGGAGGTGCCACTGGATGAAGAGATACTGCAGCCTCTTGCCAGAGACCTCCCTACAGAGACAGGGTTCCCAGCTCTTGATGATAGTGGTCTCCCAACTGACATGAAGGAAGTCACACAGGCATCAGGCCCAGGAGAGAAAAGCAGTGCTACCTTTCCATCTTGCATGGTCCCAACCCAAGCTGCACATATGCCTATCGGAGCAGACCCAATAGAAGAGACTGCCATTCGTATAGTGGAAGCTGTCATTGAGCAGGTCAAGGCCTCCAGAGTACTGGTAATCAAAGGAGAAATCAGTAATATATCACTGCCCAGTCCTGACTCAGACCTTCAGACTAAGCAGGTCCAGAATGTTTCTACAGAGAAAATAAGTCCTTTCTCACCTGGGGAGACACCGAAGATGAATAGTACTCAAGAAGCCTCTGGGAACCTTGAAGAATGTATTGTTGGAAGGGAAGAACCTGGGAAAATTATTCTGCCTATCCACACGCCTGAGCCAGCAGCAGGTAGGCAAAGTATATTATGAAATTAACAGCACAAGAAGCATGTTTCGTTGTCTCTTAAGTACTGGTAAAAATGCAGACATCTTTGTTGTTTTAAGGTCTTGCCTGCTTTTTGGTATAAGTTGTCACATTAATAGTCATTACTGTCAGAGTCACGTCATCTTCAGTTGGACAGAATTTACTTCCTATATTATAGACACAAAGTTTTTTTTAAGCCTACATTTATACTGTCTGTCACACTGGAGCCATTACATTTTCTAAATCTGGAAGACAGAACTTAGATCTGAGATGATGTTAGATATTGAAGGAATTTTGCTTTTTTTCTTTAGAACCAAAGAACATAGTACTAAAAAGAATGTGTTTATTTACAGGTTTGAAACACTCTTTTGTGTCAGCCTAATCTGTTGTGGGCAAATTTAAAGTCAGAGTTGTTTCTGGAACAACTTTTTAAGTTTTTTAAGAAGTACTGTCTTAAATTAACATCTAAAATGGTGGTATTAGGTCGTTGATTAAGTTTGGGGTGTGTGCTCCCTCTTTTTCCTGCCTGAGGAATAGACTTCCAGGTCTGTTGCTTATTACTTTGGGACAGAGTCTGAGAATTCAGGACCCTGCACAGCACAAGGGATAGGATACAGGATTTCCGCCCAAGCCCAGTCTGCTGAGCTGCTGTCACAGGCAGACCTTGTGTCTGCTTATCTTAGTGAAGCAGCTGCACCGTGCAGATTGCTCACATAGTCGCTTGTTCCATCTATGCGTAACCATGTCCAGAGACAGCAGTGAGAAACCACCATTGCTGAGTGGAAATAAGCTACTTGAATAAAACTTCTCACTGGGTTAGAGACTGAAGCTGAAACTGGAGTCGGAATGGGTGTCGGTCTTGTCTTGCGAAGTCTTTAAAGGTCAGTTGGATGCATACTTTTATACCACTACCTGCTACTAGCTATAGACAGAAGACCTGTCTCCATGTCTGCTCCTATGCTTTTGTAGGTAAGAGGTGGCTTACTTTTGTCATTACAAGTCGATTACCTTTTGCTCTTCTTTTAAACTTTTGGTAATTCCTTTAAACATAATACTTTTTAGAATTGTGGATGCGGGGTTTGGAGAGAAGTGAAAAACAACAAAAAGTTGCTTAGGAAGAGGTGCAATTTAAATACAAGATTTATTTTCCCTGATAAAGGGCTTTTAGCCATTTTGACCCCAACTCCCAACTCCAGTTAAGTGATTTAAGGAAGCTGAGGTTGAATTTTTGGTAACTTCAAATTTTTAGATTGGTTGCTGCTTTAGATGGATTGCTATCTCAAATTAAAATGAGGTTTCTAATTTTTAAAATAAGGCATAACAACAAATCTATTTTGGGGGCCCTGGCAGGTTGACATTTCAGAAACATGGGAGTGGCTGTAAGTTGATACCTGGCTGTGTTCTTTTCATTTGGTGCTCTGTCCTTGGCCACTGTGGATGGGATTATTTCTCCTGGTTCTGTGATCAGAATTTAACCCTAGCAACCGTGAACTCCGTGAGATTTGTATCTGTAGCACTGGATCAGAAAAGGTAAAACCGGAGAATTTTAGACTTTGATGCTCAATCATACACAACTGCAGTAAAGATACTAAGAAATGATGTTTATGGTTTTAAAGTTTTAAGAAGGAAGTTTCAAAAGTGAACATGGGTTTGGGCTTGGTATGTTTTGTGTAGGCGAGTTATTTGTTCTGCTACCAGAGGGAGTCATAACAGGCTTGGTGCTCAGAAAAATGTAGCCAGTGGTGAAGAAATTGGTGTTTTCTTCATGAAATAGCCAGTACTGAGGAAAGTCCCTGGTCACATTGCCTTAGAAAAAAAAAGCACCTGAGTATGATCTCATAGCCAAACAGTATTTTCTGTGAAGGTTGCATTCCATTCATGGATGGTTTTATGAGTGAGAGGCATAGGTTTAGCTACTGATTTGGATGGAGCCAGTTAAAAGAAGCAAATGTGGCCCTCACCTCTTCAAAAGTTTTGATCAACCACTGTGCTCAGGAAGTTGGTGCTTGACCTAACTAAGCCAGTCCTGCAGAGTTGCCAGTGCCCCTCAAAATTCAGTAATCCATGTTTACTATTTTAACTGGTTGTTACTTTCCAAGATACATATTTTCTGTTGATAGTTAGGAAAGTGAGGTTGTGCTAAAAATCACAACTCTAAATAAATAAAATAACCCCCCACCCCCCATGTACACAGTTAACTCTGATTCAGAAATGATTTCCTTAAGTGATCATTATTAATGGATTGTTTGGTTCGATTTTCAAAAATAAAGCCTTAATTGTATGAAATTTAACAGATTTATATTCTCTGGATAAGCAATCCATTTTTTTAAGTTGCTGTAATAATATCATGTAATTATAAATGCAAAAAACCAAGAATTATGAATGTTTTTTGTTAGGAATGTGACTTTCACAAATCAAAGAAGACCTTTAGCAAGTCATAGGTTCTGTTAAGAGTAAACCTTCAAAAATACAAAAAAAAAAAGTAAATCTGTGGTGAAAGAAGCCTCCTTGCTCTTTTGTATGAGGGGCATTTTTATTGCTTGAGTAGTGGCATTGCTAGATTAGTAACAACTACATGAAAATGAAATGACAGTTCCGTTTGTATTTGAAATAATAAACTGAATTTTGATTATTCAGCCATATTTCCCCTTTAAAGAAATGTCAGAAGCCTAAATTTGTCATTTCCTTCCTGTGCTTGTATGACCATGTGGTGGCAAAGTAACAAAAACCATTACTGTTGGATCGTTTGAACATGGCCAGCAAACAACTGTAATTCTAGAAAAAAAGAATATATGTACACACACACACACACACACACACACACACACACGCACACGGAGTTGCTGGTTTCTTTTTTGTAAGAGTTTTTTTTAATTCACATTTTTATTGAATTTTTAGAATTTTCGTACAAAGTTGCTGGGTTTTGTTTTTGTTTTTGTTTTTTTTTAAACCGTGTTTTGCTTTTGGAAGAATAACAGTCTAAACAAAAAATAGTAAACTGAAATTGTCCAGTCTTATCAATTAAAAGGATGATGTGGATCATGGTATATAATATAATTTTAAAGTCCTATTTGTCCCAAGCTTTATCACATTTTCAGTGGCTTTTTCTTTTTTCAATGTACAAGTATCTTTTGCTTTAATGACGTCCAAAACGGACTGTCTTATTTCAGCGGTTAGTCTTTGCCCTTGTAGCTTATGAATTTACTCTGTTACATGCATGTTCATAGGTTTTCATGAAGTCATTGATGAAATGGAAACCCAATACACATTAAGTCGAGACTTCTTTAGCTCTGAACCCATTTAAAGGCTTAGGGCCAACCACACAACCCTTTGATAAGGAGTAGCTCAGCATGGGGTTAGAAATGACACCAGCTCCTGACTTTGGTGTTTGATGGAAAAACAAACAAAACACATGAAACCCAGAGTTTGTTGTGTAAATAGTAAGGCACAGTAGTCAATTTTTTCTTAAATGCACTCACTCTGTATAACCCTTACTCTTTTCAGAAATGCCAGACACTAAAGCTGAAGATGAAGTGGGTTTTCTGATTAAGACCAGCCCTCCTTCTGAGGAGGTGGCTGTAGAAAGTGGATCTACTATACCTCAGATGAAGCAAGGCCCGGAGACCCAGGCGGTAAGTGGCATCTGCAAGCCTGTATGGACACAGAGTATGTTTAGCTTAGTCTGTTTGTCTGCTCTGTGGCCTTGGTTTTGTTACAGGGTTGGACAGAACAGTGTTTCACTCTTTCTCTCATTCTGTTTTGAAATGAAGATGTATTGTTGTAGTTAAGCTTCATCACTTGAAAAATCCCATACCCACTTGTGATCCACCCCTCCTGTTCCTCCCCCTATTCAGCTGCTGGAAGTCATTAATGTACTTTCGCTTTCTATACATTGCCTGTTCTTGAACTTCATGTAAACGGAATTATACAGCTTAGGTTCTTTTTGACTGGCGTTAGCGATTTAGCATAGTATTTTGAAGTTCATCCATGTTGTAGCATTGGTGATTGCCAGATAGTAGTCCATTATATAGATATGCTACATTTTTGTGGGTATTGGAAAGTTTTAAGGTTTTGGCTGTGGCTGTCAGAAATCATACTGCTTCTATGGGGATATATGCCCCCACATGCACAATTAATATAGACATGTTTTCATGTACCTACCTAGAATTCCTGGATCATGTAATAATTCCGTATTTAATCAGAGAGTTCAGTTCTATTTATCCTAAATTCAGATGATTAGCTTAGCCTCTGTATAACTCAATTTTTTCATCTCTACTCATCACCTTAGCCTTAACTATCTAGTGTCTTAGTGTTTGGTCAAAAGGGTTGACTGAGCTTGTGATTATAGTTGAGGGTGGAGTGGCATTTGTTCAGTATTACTTAGTCCAAATGTTCTGACATATGTCCAGGCTTTGTTTTGGCTTTGGGAATAGGCCAGTCATTGAGTCATTGACTCATTCTCTTCCAAATGGTGGCAGAACAAATGCATTTGTCTGATGACCTGCAAAGCTAGAGTGATGGAGAGCTTGTGACAGTTTCCTAATAAATGTAAATACTGAAACCATTTTTAAAGAGAAAACTTAAAGTTCCTGTTTTCTTAGTCCAGTGATCTAATGCCTGTCATATAAATCAAGGAGTGATTTCTTATTTTTTGATCTACTTACCATGTACTATAAGCCCTTACTTTAGAGAAATAAGTACTTCAGAATCATGGTGCATAAAGGAATTGGACTACATCAAGATTAATGTTTGCTTATATCGTCAGGAAAAATATATGTATTAAATACTGCAGATTTCTTAATTTCTCTGGGTTGGAAATTATTCAAAATTAGGAGGTAAAGCCATTACTGTACACATAATAAGGTTAATTTACATTAAGCATTTCATGTTTGTGATTTGTTAAGTATTATCAACATTTTAATTTAATATTCAACATTGCCTCTTCTTGCTATTGTAGTTTTGGGGTAGGGGGGGTCTAGACTTATCTTTTGTTACCTTTTCTGAGGTTGGAGGACTGAGGGACTATTGAATTTATATTATAGAAGCATCAAGAAGAGCATCATATAATTTAAGTTGGGAGACGTGGAACTTGGCTTATTTCTAAGACTTTTAAATTTGAAGGGACCTTAAAGATTATCTAGTATCTTTGCTTTGTAGCAGTAATTCAGGACAATTTGACTTGCCTTGTTTCACCATTAGTTAACTGTTAACTGAGCTAGAACACAACTTCTATACTACTAAATTTTTTCTTTATACAGTTGTTTCCTGCTTGAAGAGTTCTCTTAAGGATACTTTTAAGAAATTGAATTCACTTGGTTTAGGATGGGTTTTGTTTTTCAATCAAGTGTCCTTGAATAGTGCATACTCAGATTCAAAACATATTGCATTATACTCTCATGCTTTCTGTTATAGTTGGAGAAATTTTTCTTGTCATTTTAGGATCTAAACCACTTCAAGCTTTGGGAAAAAATTGTTTTTGATTAATTTATTTTTATTTTATACATATGAGTGGTTTCATTTATATATAAGTGCACCATGTGCATGCAATGCCTACAAGATACCAGAAGACAGCATCATATCCCCCTCAGAACTGGAGTTACGTACGGTTTTATAGCAGTCATGTGGGTGCTATATACAGAACCCAGATCCTCTGCAAAAGCGGCAAGTACTCTTAACCATTGAACCATCTCTTCCAGCCCCAAAACTGGTTTAACATATATTCTTACTATTGAGTCTGTTTGGCTGCATCTAAACATTGCCAAGATAGTATTTATCTTAAGAGCTTGCTTTTGGTGCAGCAGTCTTTAAGATTTCTCTAGGCTTGCTTTTTTTCTTCTGCTTCTGCTTCTGCTTAAAGAATGGTATGAAAAAGTATAGCAGCACATGGTCAATGAGAAGCAAATGACGGCAAATTTGTGCTTAGAAAAGCAAAGACCTCTGGGACAAAAGTCGTTTGAGAGTATGATCCTTTGTAGTCAGGGAAAAATTTCAGATTCTGCTTTCTTTGCCTCTGTGTTAGAAACTAATATAAAATTCCTGCAACTAGTAGGGATCTTTTGTTTGTTTGTTTTTTAAAGATATGGCCAAGTTCATTCAGAAAGAGATGAGTGTCTGTTTACTGAGGTATCTTTAAAAAAATTTGTTTCCAAATGCTCATTACATAAGCTTATTAGGTCTATGGGATGGTTAATCCTGAAAGCCATTGTATCTTGTCAGGATGTCCATGAAAATAGTAGCCAAATATGAGAACAAATACGTTCAAGGACAACTGTAAAATCCCGTATGGTGAACGTTAGTTTACTGGGAAAGTGTACTCTTTAACATCCTTTCTCTGTCAAGAAAGCATTTCCAATCAAAACCATTATCTCTGTTTTGTAGTTAAACACCTACACATCAATTTAAGTGAATTCTCATTCTTAGCTCTTCATAGAATAATATTTAGTATCTTCTAAGTTGTGATCATTACAGTGTTGGTCTTGGACTCTCCTATTAACATCTTCTTGTCAAGATTGGGTACACTTAGGATGGTATGGCCATAAACTTAACATCTTCTTGAATTCTCTGTTCATTCATTCATATATTTTGGGTTATTAAGACAGGTTCTCCCAGTAACTCCCACTGGCATTTAAACCAGGCTGGTCTTGAACTCACAGAGATCTGCCTGCCTCTGCCTCCCAAGTGCTAGGATTAAAAGCGTGTGCCACCAAACCCAGCCCCTCTTTATTCTCTTTTTTATTTTAAAATATTGTATTTATTATTTTTATTTGATGTATATGAGTGTTCTTTGTAAATGTATTAGTGTTGTACAATACCTTCGGAGGCCAGAAGAGGACGCCACATCCTCTGGAACTGGAGTTGTATATAGCCTTGTGGATGCTGGGAACCAAACTCTGTGCAAGAGCAGTCAGTGCTCTTAACTGCTGAGCTATCTCTCCAGCTCCTCCTTTATAATTATTAATGGGAACATTGTGTTCTTTCCCTCATCTTAAGTGTCAGACCTTTGTTTCCATATGTTCAGGAGTTTGTGCCCAGGTGTTGGTTAAAATTTTTCCTGCTTCCTGCCGGGCGTGGTGGCACATGCCTTTAATCCCAGCACTTTGGAGGCAGAGGCAGAGGCAGATGGATCTCGGTGAGTTCAAGGCCAGCCTGGTCTACATCATGAGTTCCAGGCCAGCTGGGGCTACAGGGAAACCCTGTCTCAAAAAGACCAAAAAAAAAAAAATTTTTTTTTTTCCTGCTTCTTGTTGGCTGTTGATAGCTTTCAAGCTCAGTTACAGCAGGAAAATAGGGAAGTTGCCAAGCTACTTGGTAACTCATCTGACAGGTACATTCAAAGTGGCTTACATGATGTCACTGTACTAAAAGTTTTTATTTTTCTAAAAGGACTTTTAAAAAAGTATCTCTGCTATCATACAGTTGTGCTACCCCAGTTCCACAGTGGTCCCTAAGCCTTAGGAGGAGAGGGTTTGATATTGGTGTCTTATTAGGCTTGAACACTCCATAATCTCTTATTCTTGCATGTTGGCCAGTTGTGGCTGTCTGTGTTAGTCACCATTTACTGCAAGAAGAAACTTCCCTGGTGAGAGTTGAGAGATGCATTAATCTCTGTGTATTAGAATAAATCATTAGGAGTCAGTTTAATACTACCTGTGTTTAGCAGAATGATAGTAGTATGTTCTCCCCTATGGCCTGTTACCTGTCTGGCTACAGGTTCTTGGCCTTAGCAACAGTATCAGGCATGGGCTGCATTTTGTGAAGCAGGCCTTAAATCCAATCAGAAGGTATTTGTTTATTCCCATGACATTTGTACCACTGTTGAATCAGTGGACATATTTTGCCAAGCCAGTTGTTATTGTGGCTTGCCAGGGTTCACTGCTGGGTAAGGCTGGTAATTGCCTTTCTCTGCTGGTAACATTTATATCACCTTCAGAGTACTAAGAAAGCTAGCTAGCCAGCAGAGATGAAGCTTTAAATTCCATACCAGCTTGGTTTCTGTCATATGTACATACATGATTTGTAGTCTTGTCTCCTTCCCCTCAGGAAAGGCAGCTTGGCCTCTTTGTGAGTTGCCAATAAGTTTTCTCTGCACCCATTTGATAGTTAAGAAAACCAGCTCCCTACTCCTTAACTATTCCTTTGGGTACAATGCTATCACTAGCATTAACCACAAGAAAACTTACTCCTAGGTTTCTTTTTTTGGATGCTTCCCCTAAGTCCTAAATGGAGAATTTCCAGGAAATTTTCAGTGACTGCTTCTGCCGATTTACAGTATAGTTGTAAAAAAGATAAGCCTTGAAAACAAAACAAAACAAAAACCCAAAAAACAAAAACACCCATAGAGCCACAAGTGGCAAAACTCTATTGGAAAACTGTTAAGAGATAATGTGTGCAAGGGTATAATTTAATGATTTGGTTATGCATCAAAAATTCATTTTTGCTTATTTTTATGTGTGCAGAGGCCAGAGGAGGGCATTAAATCCCCTGGAACTGGAGTTATGAACATTTTTTTAGCCACCGTGTGGGTGCTGAGAACTGAATCTGGGCCCTCTAAAATAGCAGCCAGTGCTTTTAACCACTAAGCCATCTCTTCAACTGCCTAGTTATACATTTTAAAATGACCTTGACCAATTTA